CGGCTCATCGGCTACTTTCCCACCTAAGCTGCTCATCGACAAACCGCAACCCTCTGGATAAACCATACTCAACACAAGCAGCAACAAGCAGGAGAAATGGACCGATCATACGTTCAAATTGGTGCCCTCGCCCCCCTCAGCCGACCGGGCTGGATCGATGCTGGGAGGCACTTGCTTGCGGGACTCGACCTGGCCATCGAAGAGGTTAATAGAGCTGGCGGCATCGCCGGAAGGCCACTTAAGCTGGTAGTCAGGGACACAGTGGCTGACCCCCAAAAGGCCACAGCCGCTGTAGACGAACTCGCTAGCCTGGGCGTTGTCGCCTTGGTGGGTGAGTACCACAGCGTCGTCGCCCGCGCCGCCGCCGTGAGGGCTGATGCTATCGGCTTGCCATATCTCTGTTCGTCTGCCGTCCTCGATAATCTCACTGAGCAGCCAACAAACTGGGTAGCGCGCCTCGCCCCCGCCCAGTCAAAGAGCTGGCAGGCCTACGCCGACTTCCTTTTGGCCATGTCTCATACCAACATCGCCATAGTTGCCGACCCCACGAGTGTCTACTGGGCATCCGGAATTAGCATTCTACGGGAGCATTTCGCTCCCCGCGGCGGCACGGTCATCGAGTTCAACATACGCGAACTCGGGCCTGGTGACATATGCGATGAACTCGCTCGGCAAGATGGACGTGTCACAGCTCTCCTTCTTCTAGTCGGCTTGCCAGAACCAGCGGCTGCTATCGTCAAGGCCGTCAGGCATGATCAACGCCTCGCTGGACTCATAATGGGTGCTCCAGCTGGACAACCGGAGTTCGCCGAATGGGCAAGGTTGCTTGGCAACGATGGCGCTGCCATACCTTTCCTCCGTTACCTACCCGAGCGGCTCAGCCCGCTAGGGGCTCGTATTGAGACCGCACTCTGCGAGAAGTTGGATGAGATGCCCTCCTTCGTCGCCTTCGAAGGCTACGACACGATCACTATCCTCACTGACATCTTACGCTTTCATGGAACGAACCGGATGCGCACTGCCCCATCATGGGAACGCGTCTTCGTTGAAGGGACCCGTGGTCCGATCAGTTTCTCCCGCATCCCAGGCATCAATGTGTGGCAATGGGCGTGGCCGCCAGTGCAAGTCGTCGACCGGGACCCTGCACACCCCACACACTTCCGGACCCTTCATACTATCTGAGCAACTTTGGCTGTGATGGAGTCAATATAGGCATTGAGAAAGTCAGAACTAGTGACCCTATAGGCCTGAGTTTTTCTGGTCGAGCAAGTCTCTGTCTGGTCCTCATATCCTGGCTACCAGGCACAGTATAATCACTAAATCCAGGTTCATCTTGTGTCTAGCTATGCTGCCTACGCCAGGCAATCCAACCATTTACTCCTAACTAGTGATCCTTTACCCTGGATTGGCACCCCAGAACTCAGTTAAGGATTTGCGATAGCCAATTCAATTCTATGTGTCAGGTATCCAGCTTATAGAGTACTCCTTACGCTAATTGTCGGCCTAACACTGCACGCGAAGTGGCGACACGGTTTCTAGAATGACGGACGACTGCTATTGCTTCTCTAGTTCCAGTCACGTAGCACTGTTTCTATAGCCAAGCATGCGGCCACTACAGTAGATTAGAGGGTGCGCAACGAATGAGTTGGTGCAATCGTGGCAGGGGCGTATATTTTTATTTTTTGGGAAGCACGCTTATGATCGTCAGCGGATCTGGATAAACAACGCGGGCAGATAATATCAGGAGCGCTTCACGGATGGGGATCTGGCAGTTTCATCCTGAGTGGCTCACCCTTGACACTCATGGTTTCCACTTGGCATACAGGCCGGAGTAGCCCACAGGCCGAATTATCACCCACGGTGAACTACTCCCCATGTTATTAGAGCATGCGTTCGGAAACCATCTTTGCTGGACGGATCCTGGCCGTCTGGGTCGTAAACATTCTAGCTCGTTGGAGCTAGGGCTTGAGAACACAGGCACTGCTCCAAGTTTCATCATATCGGAGTTTTAAAACTGCGTAGAAGTTAATTTATTGGCCCCAAAAAATATATGGGTACGAGAGAGAACAAAAGAGTTGGCGACTGGGATCAATCAACGCTGAATAAACAGGGAAAAGGAAGAAACCGTCGATATCTGTGGTTATGATATCTATTCTTGATAAATCTATTAGTATTCTAATACTAGCTGGCTCTAAGTTTTATTTTCTACCACTATTTTATAGCACCTCTCTCCGTAGTTTAGAAAATTAAATTTATATTAAAATAATTCCTTTTTGTAATACTACACCCTTTATCTAGCCAGGGGAGTTGATATAAAACTGAAGGAAAGGTTAAATAAAATATCCAGGTATATTATATTTAGTAAACTGGCTAGAAAATAGAAGATTGGGATTCTTTAAATAGTATTAGAATACTCAGTTCTAGAGCTTTTCCTAGAACTAGATATCATATTAGAGGGGGGTGTATTCCATAGAATATAGAATAGGATCAAAAATCTAGATATAGTGGGGTTTATCAGGTAATCAGAAAATCGGCTCATGACTTCCAGTAGATGACTGTACAACCCAAGTGGTAGTACAGTGAATAACTCCAAAGCAAGCTTTGAATTCTTTGTTTCTCAATACTCAGGGTCTATAAGCAGTCCGAAGCTCACTTACTCTAGAGTAAACGAGCTAACATATGTATCCAGTTTTGCCCATCTTTTCAAAGAATTACATATATATTAAATTTCGAAGATAGCTGACTTAAGAACAAATACTCAGAAATACAGAGTGCTCTCTAATCCCGAATCGCTTCCTAATGATCTGCGCCTATTCTGGAACCCGGCAAACCCCCCCGTCGGTTGTACGGACCCATACAAATAATTTGCGGGGTAACACCGTCGGCTACGGCACCTTCGAGCGTCCCGCGCACGTCGGATACTGCACCTCTCATACACCCTTCCACTGTTAACCACCTCGTACTAGTAGAAACCAGGATTAACAATCAGGTCTGCTTCCGATATGCGGAGTGACGGCTTCCGTTCGGATGCAACCTACACAAGCAGCGGCAACCAAGCTAACAACTTTGAAGCTATCATAGAATACAGCAGGGGAGATCTGCTGTGTTTGCCATTTCCAGCAACTATACAAAATAGCTTCAATGGTTTTTATCAACTTGCTAACAGAACTACCAAAGGAAGGACTCAGAGCTGGCTTCCGATAATTCTAGCCATATATACTACCAAGCTCCTGGCGGACCCAAACATACCAGAGCCCACTTTCCCCACACTCTGCAGCAACCGTCGGTAGTGAGGTTAAGGATGAGCCAGTTAGTTCCACGCAGCCATACGTATTCTATACCTGCTTTTCCCATCGGAAGTGCGGTACACATCCGCCATTGCCCGCCCGTTCAAATGATATAAAGCTGTCGCATTCGACCAGTTTGGCTCTTATAATCTACACTCCCTCATCTTCTTGTACAATACCTACATCTAACCCCACGTCCCCTCACAAAGCATACTCCCACCTCCAGAATACCCCATCCCCAACCCGAGTTCAACAACAACACAACCAACAATGCTTGGTAAGATCGCCCTTGAGGAAGCCTTCGCGCTTCCCCGCTTCGAAGAAAAGACTCGCTGGTGGGCAAGCCTCTTCTCCACGGACCCCGAAACCCACGTCAAAGAAATCACCGACATCAACAAGATCCGCATCGAGCACGCAGACAAGCATGGCGTCGGCTACCAAATCCTCTCATACACAGCGCCCGGTGTGCAGGACATCTGGGACCCCGTAGAAGCCCAAGCGCTCGCCGTCGAGATCAACGACTACGTCGCCGAGCAAGTGCGCGTGAACCCCGACCGATTCGGTGCTTTCGCGTAAGCCCCCTCTCACCCCAACCATCATGCAAACCATACTAAACAAACCCATAGCACACTATCAATGCACAACCCCAAAGAAGCCGCCGATGAGCTCCGCCGCTGCGTCGAGAAGCACGGCTTCAAGGGCGCCCTGGTAAACGATACCCAACGCGCCGGCCCCGACGGAGACGACATGATCTTCTACGACAACGCAGAATGGGATATCTTCTGGCAAACCTGCACAGAGCTCGACGTACCATTCTACATGCACCCCCGGAACCCGACAGGCACAATCTACGAGAAGCTCTGGGCTGATCGCAAATGGCTCGTGGGTCCTCCTCTCAGCTTCGCGCATGGCGTTAGTCTACACGTTCTCGGCATGGTCACGAATGGTGTGTTCGACCGTCATCCCAAGCTGCAGATTATCATGGGTCACTTGGGTGAACATGTTCCCTTCGATATGTGGCGCATTAACCACTGGTTCGAGGACCGGAAGAAGTTGTTGGGTCTTGCTGAGACGTGCAAGAAGACTATTCGGGACTACTTCGCTGAGAATATCTGGATCACTACCTCGGGGCACTTTTCGACGACTACCTTGAACTTCTGTATGGCGGAGGTTGGGTCTGACCGGATTCTGTTCTCGATTGATTATCCGTTTGAGACTTTTTCTGATGCTTGTGAGTGGTTTGACAACGCGGAGCTCAATAAGACGGATCGGTTGAAGATTGGACGGGAAAATGCGAAGAAGTTGTTTAAGCTTGGTTCTTACAAGGATAGTTCCGCTTAAATTGTTGAATGATGTTATGAATTTATTCCATTTCATTTATTAGAAACTTATGTCTCATTGCAAATGGTATTCGCTTAGATATGACGAAATTCCATGGATTATCCCGTGCGCCATGCTGTTCCTATTCATCCCTCCGATCTATCGATCATTATTCTCTCACGTTCGTAAATTCGTAGATACGTCGGCCTTTTTGTTTCTTTTTTTAATTCTCCCTTTGTCTTTCTTTCTGTTCTTTCTTCGTTTTCCTTTATCTTTTCTGACTTCCACACGTTGAAAGGAAATCATTGAAAGGCGCAATGGAAAGAGGAGAGCAAAGAAAAGAACAAAGCCTAATTGTAAGTTTTCACCAGCAAATCCATCTCATCAACCGTACTAAACTTGAATACGGGAGTCAACATGCCACTGTCCAGAGCTCTGTCCCTGCCCAGGAAACTGCATCTGAGCCCTGAACTCAGCCATCGCACGAGCCTGGGCCCGGGCAAACTCCTGCTCCTCCGCCTCAGCACAAGCCCTCTCCTCCACCTCCGTCCAGAGTTTTTCCAACTCCATATTCCGCAGTATTTCGCACTGCCGCTGGTGCTCCTTCCACTCTTCCTCCCAGATCTCATACGAACGAGGTAGTCGATCCATGATCGGATCAACGAAGCGGCTTTTAAGATCGAGGTTGATAGTAATGATCTCGTTGTAGTTCTCGATGGCGCGGCTCAGAACATCCCAGCCTGCAATTAAGAGGCGGGCGAGATTATCACGCTCGATGTGAAGCCCTTCTTCGCGGAGAATCTGTCGATTGCGGATATTGAGGAAATCACTGTACACGTACGTGTCATACAGATCTTGGAAGACAGTCAAGAGGTGTTTTTCGAGCAGGCGCGGCTTTCGGAGGTTTCTGTAATCGTCGTTAGCTCAATAAGGCTAAGTAATAGCTAGAAGAAGGGCTTTTACCCAATGATAACCCGAGCCGTCTGTCGAAAACGCTGATATACGTCGAGATCCTGATTCTTCGCGATCTGTATGATCCAATGGAGGACCTGTTGTGAGATGCTGAGCTCACTCTCAAGCTTTTTGTCGAGCCAGGCAAGGTATTGGACCATTGGAATCGCCAGTGCTTGGACCTCTTCGACGACGGGAGCAGAGAGAAATTCCTTAGCGTGAGTACCGTCGGGCTTCACGTCACGACGGAACAGAATCCACTCCATGCGGAGGATAATGTTGGTCATGGCAGTAAAGCGTCTCTGAATGTCGTCCTTCATATGGTCTGCACGAAGTATGATCCTCATCTCTTCGAGGATGTTAAGCTTTCGCTCTTCGGCTTCATGAAGGCGACGCTGCATATGTGGGTTACGAGCAGGCATTGGGGTAGTGCCAGGCAGAGGCCTTCCCGTTCCGATGGGAGGTTGAAAATTCGGGGTGGGAGGCTCATCTGGCATAGCCATTTCATCAATGGAGAGCGTCCTCTTGCACGTCTGGCTGCTACAAGTGCTTCCAGAGAGTGACATGGAGCCCTGGATTGAAGAGAAGGAAGCCTGACCTACGTTATGACTACCAATAGCCCCAGACAGAGTATGCTGAGAGGAGTGGAAGCTCGGTGCATAGTATTGGTTGTTCTGGTCATCGCGAGTCCTGGTATCACTAGTACCAGAGACGAGGTGCGACACAGATACAACCGGAGATAGTTGGCTCAGAGCCCCTTCCGATGAGTCATTACTGGCAGCAGACGATGAACTGGAAGGGACATGTCTGGCTTGGATATTGGCCTTCCTATCCGCCATAAATTGGGGCGCAATGGTGGATATGGGGGCTGATCCAGAAGCAACATCTCGAACAGAAACATCATTGGCGGGAGTCGCATTAGAAACTTTGTGGGCACCAGTGTCGTCAAGGGAGATCCAGGCCTGAGAGGTAGAAGTCATGGATGCGCCCTTGTCGGAGTCGGCACGGACAGATGTGGCAGACGAGATTTGAGAGATAGGGGTTGGTGCCGTATCGGACTGGCTGCGACTAGTAGTGTCACTATGGAGAGTGGAGTGTGATGTGAGCAAAATGCTGGGCTTGGCCTGTCTGGGGTGACTGTCAGTTGTGACAGGGCAGCCAACGTGAGTTGCAAGAGGGGAGACTGTAGCAGGGTTACCGGCACCAAGGTTTCTCATTCGCACGGACTCTTCGAACACTTTTGCGATAGCATTATTATATGCCTCCTCGAGGTCCTTGTCGATGATCGCCGGATTCTGCTCGCATGACTCGTAGTAGTCTGGAAATGGCTCGGTGGTTGTAAGATTTAGTTCAGAATGGACAAGAAGCGGGGTGACCGGGGGGCTGCCGTGAATGCTTCTTCTTGAGCTTGTGTTGCTAGACAATGAGCTCAGAGGGCGACCTTGATCTCCGTCAGAGTCGGACTGTTTATGGAGATCCAATTCGGTATGCGTCGCGTTTGCAAGCATACAGGCAATCCTCTCTTCGTCGGAATGTGGAATCTCAACCTGAGAATCTCTGTACTTGGTTCTCGGTGAGGTCTTGTTCTTCAAGAAATTAAAAGTGAAGGTATGGAGGCTAGAGAGATTCTTTTTCGCATTCGCCAGTTTATATTGGTCCTCCATCCGAGGAGACCAGCGACGCTTCTTGGTGAAAGATATCTGAGGGCTCATGATATCAAACATCGTCGAAGAATAGCACAGCGGGCTTTATCTGATAGATGAGGTTCAGAGAGGAGTAGGAAGAAATTTGATATTTAAATGGTCAAAGCGTAGCAGATCTGAACTGGTATGAAATACTTGAAGAGGTTGGTTGTGGGAGACATCGAGATACATAATATAAGATACTGGCATAAAGGGAGTAAGTGTGCTTTTGATATTGAAGACCCCATTCTGACTGCACACTCGCTCAGAAGATAGTAGATCCATGTAGAGTGTTATTCACTTCTGATGGGTTATGTCCAAGTGTTTGGGAGGTTGCCGCCATCTGCAGTGAATATCTTTCTGAGTCCCTGGTTAGGCAAGTAGCTTGTTCAGCAACTTCCCTAGTAGCAACGTTGCAGTTTCTTGATCTCTATAAGATGCATCTCCCATGCTGGGCACAGGATATGAGTTAGGATCCTTCGATATTCTTTCCAAGTAAACATCACATCTCGCATATCGAGCTATACGAAGAATTTAACCCAGATAAAGTTCAAAGATTGGGTGCATTCTTCGCTGTGGCTTGCATAACACTTAGAATCCAAGGGGAGGAGCTATCTTTTCTTGTGTGAATGAGGAGGGCTACCCAGAACACCTGGTTCTTCAAGACGGTAATATAGTTCGGAGATCTCTTTAGTCCAGGAAAGTTAGAGAAATGGCATGTATTGGGAGTATCGTACCAACCCTTGTTGTTAATACAATAGATAAGCAACCTTGTCTATTCCTGGGCTGCAATTAGAATTTTGTATAGATATGATTCTAAGAATGCAAATACCACCACAGACAATGGAACAATGAACCAACTTATGAAGAAAGTAACAAGGAAAGTAACAAGCAATACTAATATTAGAGATATATAATTGAAACTAGAATGTACAATCCTCGACATAATCAGCCCATGTCAACTAGGCTTTTAGCGACAATGAATAATTCTCATTATTGTCAAGTCCTTGATTGAGTCTGCTTGAGAGAGAGAAGATAAAGAACATAGCGCTACATCTTATCCGGACACATCTGTAACAACCTTGACATTTTCTAGGACAAGATAAGCAATTTGAAACAATACAACTCAAATTATCTTTGTCTCCTAGTTCAAGATGTAGCATTAAGCAGCTTGCCAACGAGGCACTCAGTCAAGAACGGTGATTTTTTCAACAATAAATTAAACATCCCTCTGTGGAGATACGTAGCTCTTAATCAGAATCACGAAACTCAGAGCGGTTCTGGAGAAGGACAAAACATCAATCCGGGGCCCTGGACATTAGTGTTGGCAGCTCTCAGCTGAGAAGTCACATGGCCACGAGATATCGAGACAAGATAATTATATTTTACATTGCCTGGAATTGTGCGTACCAAGGAAAGGTAGAAAAGGCCAGAAAGAGGATCAAACATGCGGCATCTATTTGGATGCGTTGATATTCCACGGAATGCTTTTGTGTTTCCTTTTTTAACCCGCCATCAGGATATATATATATTTTACACTGTCCGTATGACAGTTCCTCGACAACAAAACATCAAGTTCAAGTTTCTAGTTAATCGAATGTGTTTGCCAACTGCGAACCAGAGAGTAATTCAGATGAGCAGATATGGCGATTAACCTCCCCGTATGGTTTACAAACGCATAATGAATTTGATTTGCTGTGTTTGAATCAATATCAGGTATCAGTCTAGACAAACTATTTGCGCCCAAGATGACGGCTTCTGCTTCATGAATGGCTTCGGATCCTCTCAGTCTAGGCGAAGGCGGATGACCGACGGGGTGGCAAGACGGAGGAGCCGTTAAATGGGAGAGCTTGTAAAAGCGTCTGGCTAAGACCCTCCTATCTTCACTGTAGTAGCTTACTGGGTGTCTAACTTCTCCAACCAACATCAGCATAGGGTATGGATTGCTGGCATTGATATTTCCATACCCCGTGAAGAGGACCTTGAAACCGTGCAGGATCCAAATAGATTTGGGTTTGAAACACTAGCAGTGAGTCGGACCCATATCCCGGTATTCCTGGAGTCTTAAAACATAGTAGTAGAAGGCACAATGTCTCGACCAATGCATCATTTCCGCAGGATCGATAAGCGGCTCGGCCGGAGAGATTTGAGTTCCGATTCATGACCAAATAACCCGGACTTAGTATGGTACTCTAATACTGAGTAGACATTTGATGGTAGAACTGCTACTGTTGAGAGGATCCAGAATTGATCCACCAGGAGAAGAGAGCCACCCATGTCTACCAGACCTTGCTCAGCCCCTTCGCCATGCATCTATCCATAGCCAATAACGGAACTAGTATCATCTAATCGTCACTAAGTTTCTGTTCTGATGATATCTGCAGTCTCGCTCTTCTAGGAAACTTCTCCGTAATCGCGCTGTCATATATTAAGTTATATTATGGTTTGCCACAGTCAGGGACTCAGGGTCCGCTAAAAGCTAATTAGAACCAATCAACCGATCAACACACCCTCCTTTCGGACCGCTTCTAGTTTCGAATATCGGCATCTTCGCCAACGGAACCTTGACTCTGGCGTAATTTCGGAGTGGAGGTCGAGAGAATGACCGTTGCGCTTCATGGTGCGGCGATCAGTCCGATGAGGCAATTTTAAACCTATGGGAAACTTCGGATCTTAGACATTCTGCCGAGCCACTTTGGCTAGACTCTTCCTGACGGGTCGGGACTTCACCGGTGGATGAATTACTCGGCATGCCGATTCTGAATAATACCTTAATAATGTGATTTTGATCCACTTTGGACGCTTCGCTACCGCAAAGATGTACACTAGAGATTGTTTAGGATTAGCTCGAATGTTCCTGACAGTAGTGTGTATTGCAACGTGCTCACTATCGATTGCAGAATCATACCCTGAGTATGAGAACGCACCAGCTTTACTTTCATTCAGTAAAGGGAAAGGAGAGAACATCTGGGAGTGGAAAACTGTACTGGCACGATTAACATGCTTTCCAAGACATCGTATAAAATATTAAGCCTTTTCACTACTCCAAAGCATACCATTCAAGGATAATTCCACGAAGGGACCCAGCTCAATCTTATCAGATCAGCAACGCCCGCTAGTTGCGGCAAAATTCTGACAAGATTCGTTGAAAGGACCCACTAACATAAGCTGATAAATCCATGTCTGCTGAAACATTAGCATGCTGACAAGTTGCTTATGGATCAGTAGCTTTATTCCTAGAGGGAAGCTAGGATTTGCAGACGATTTCGCTATGATGCGATTCATTCGCCGAGCCGTTGGTATCCAGCATTAAGGTGGATAGAACCTTTGAATTAGGCTCAATTTTAAAACACTATGGACTGCATATATAGTAGTTGATGCCAGCCCTTTTGTGGAAAGATTTTCAAGGTGAACAGAGACTGACGCTTGCGGCTTGACATCCAGACATGCTCTTCTCGTTGGCATTCCTTAGTGCCCTGTCGCTGGCCACGGCATCGCCGGCTGGACGGGCCAAGAACACTACGGTATACGACTATATCGTTGTGGGAGGCGGCACGAGTGGTCTTGTGGTCGCAAACCGCCTTTCTGAGAACCCCGATGTCTCCGTTCTTCTGATTGAGGCCGGTGCTTCTGTGTTCAATAACCCGGACGTAACCAACGTTAACGGTTATGGATTGGCCTTTGGCTCGGCTATCGACTGGCAGTACCAGTCTACCAACCAGACTTATGCAGGAGGTAGCCAGCAAGTTCTGCGCGCTGGTAAGGCCCTTGGAGGAACCAGTACGATCAATGGTATGTTTCTATGGTGAATCTTTTTGTCGACATGATCCACTGATAACCACAGGAATGGCTTATACCCGCGCCGAGGATGTCCAGATTGATGTTTGGCAGAGAATTGGAAACGAAGGTTGGACGTGGAAAGATCTCTTACCATACTACCTGAAGAGCGAAAACTTAACTGCCCCCACCAGCTCCCAGGTTTCTGCTGGCGCTGCCTACAACCCTGCCGTGAATGGAGAAGAAGGTCCTCTCAAGGTCGGCTGGTCGGGAAGCCTAGCCTCCGGTAATCTGTCAGTTGCTCTGAACCGTACGTTCCAAGCCGCTGGTGTTCCCTGGGTTCAGGATGTCAATGGAGGCAAGATGCGTGGTTTCAACATCTACCCATCCACCATCAACGTTGACCTCAATGTCCGTGAAGATGCGGCCCGGGCGTACTACTTCCCCTTCGATGACAGAAAGAACCTCCACCTGTTGGAGAACACTACCGCCAACCGTCTCTTCTGGAAGAACGGCTCTGCTGAGGAAGCCATTGCGGAAGGTGTCGAGATTACCTCCGCTGATGGCAAGGTCACTCGTGTGCATGCAAAGAAAGAGGTCATCATCTCTGCCGGTGCCCTGCGGTCTCCCCTGATCCTCGAGCTTTCAGGTATCGGAAACCCAAGGTAAGCGATCCAGTGATGGTCAATCATTCTCTATCCCTGCCTCTAACCCTCGTAGCATCCTCAAGAAGCACAACATCACCCCCCGCGTCAATCTCCCCACCGTCGGCGAGAACCTTCAGGACCAGTTCAACAACGGCATGGCGGGCGAAGGATACGGCGTCCTTGCCGGTGCCTCGACCGTGACGTATCCTTCGATCTCAGATGTCTTCGGCAACGAGACTGATTCCATCGTTGCATCTCTCCGGTCCCAACTCTCCGGCTACGCCGCCGCGGCCGTCAAAGTCAGCAACGGCCTCATGAAGCAGGAGGACCTAGAGCGCCTCTTCCAGGTCCAATTCGACCTCATCGTCAAGGACAAGGTCCCTATCGCCGAGATCCTCTTCCACCCCGGTGGTGGAAACGCCGTGTCCTCCGAATTCTGGGGCTTGCTCCCATTTGCCCGTGGTAACATCCACATTAGCTCCAATGACCCGACTGCCCCCTCAATTCTCAACCCTAACTACTTCATGTTCGAATGGGATGGCAAGAGCCAGGCCGGTATCGCCAAGTACATTCGGAAGATCCTCCGCAGTGCACCATTGAACAACCTTATTGCGAAGGAAACCAAGCCCGGTCTCTCTGAAATACCGGCCACTGCTGCGGATGAGAAGTGGGTTGACTGGATTAAGGCTAACTGTATGTTGAATCCTTTCTTGACTCCAATGATAAGTCTGACGTGAATTTTCTAGATCGTTCCAACTTCCACCCCGTCGGAACTGCTGCCATGATGCCCCGTTCCATTGGTGGCGTCGTCGACAACCGTCTCCGTGTCTACGGTACTAGAAATGTTCGCGTGGTGGATGCGTCTGTCCTGCCCTTCCAGGTTTGCGGCCACTTGGTTAGCACGCTTTATGCTGTTGCCGAGCGCGCTTCTGACTTGATTAAGGAGGATGCGAAGAGTGCTTAGCTTAATAGACAACGCTACATTATCGGAGGGACAGTGTCCCGTCCAGATTCGTGCACCTCATGAAGAGGGAGTGGTTTCGAGACTTGTTTGTTGAGGTAGACTTCTCTTCTGTTGTTGTTGTATGTATTATTAGTCGGCAATTTGGTGGCTGCTGGAATGCAATGATCTTTGGTTACATAATTGAATACGGAAATTTTCTTGGGCTAAGCACACGTGTAGAGAGTATGGCATACACGTGTCAACCTAAGTTACTGTAACTCATACTAGTACTACAAGATTGAAGAAAACGAGAGATGCAAATCTTTCCCATGGCTGCAACAGCTGTATCAATTATTATTAAGTTACATAAGGTATGTACTGCATTCAATCGAAAACGCTCACTACTTGAAGCGCCTAGACTGATCGAGAAGGTGCAGTTCGACCCTCCCCTTGAACGATGGCTGGTTTGTAAAGAGGGATACCATAGGAAGAACAAGACGCTCAGGCCAAGGATCCAACTTCTCAGACATTGTTCAAGAGTTAACGAGGGTCAGGGGTTTTCTCCGCACATTGACTGATTGGCACGTCATTGAGAAGGACCGTGACAACTCAAAGTAGTGCGTGGGAAATGGCCTAGGGAACAAGCTGTTGACATGGAACACTATACGAAGACAGTATATGGTCTTCCATGGGGATATCATTATTCCTCCTTTTTACAATGCTCGGGTTTCTCAGGAGAAGGATCATTTTCCTCTTCATCCTCATCGTCAGGCAATGGGACATCCATGACACGCTCCCCGGCTTTTTCTAGGGCCCTCCGGCTCCAGCTTCTTACGCCTTTGTAGACAGCCTGATCAATATTAGCAAAAGCATACATCAAGCTTCGTTGAGCACACTTACCCAAAGAAAACTGCAAACGCCAACCAGGATGACAACCCAAGTGATTGACGCTGCTCGGCTTCTGCCTGTGGTCCTGCCACTACTGACCAAGCCACTAGGGCGAACATGCCACCACTGCCAGGGCGACATGGCGACTATGGCTTTGATGAACGACAGAAAGCCTAATGACGCCAAACCTTTCACAAAGTGTGTAATCCATGATGCCTGCTTTTCAGTCGGCAAGACGCTAGACACAGTACTGGAATCCCAAAAATCAGAGTAGATGATGGTTTCCATGGGGTTGATGTAGAGGTTAATGATTGGGTCAGCAACAAAACCAAGCGTAAAAACAGTGAACATCAATATCAACAAAGTCAATCCAAGCTGCGCGGAAGTACTACTGATCCAGCGCGCCCATGTCAGGCGTTCTAGCCGGTACTGGAAGCCACAAGTTGGGCAATGCCAAAAATTCCTTTTGCTATAGCCCGGGTCCGCATGTCGCCATGCTTGAAGACAACCCTCGTGGACATATCGTGAAGATCCTTTGCACTTGCAGGGACGTAGGAGTCGGCCGAGCTCCGCATCAGAAGACTCGTAGACTACCCGTGCTTTGGGTTGGAGGAACCCAGGGATGTTATCGGAAGGAGGATGGAAGGTAGGTAGAACTGTTTCCAGACAGATGCGACATACACGAGGTGGGTAGTGCTTCTGAGAAGACTCCGGCGGAGGGGCAGCCGAATCATCATGTTGGTGAGTATCTTCAAACCTTTGGCCTGCCTCAGGATTGGGAGCCGTGGAAGAATTCGGCCACTGCCAGAGTGGCTCCTGGTTCGGATTCATTATGGCTTCTGCCTAGTTTCTTTCGCGATTATGCGGTCATGTCACAGTGACCAGATCTACCAGCGACCTGGTGAGAATGTACAATCGACTGTTTAGAAAGGTGTCGATTGAATGGTTGGGCAGAGGCATAGAACAGGGAGCAATTGAGGGGAGGGGAAGGGGGAGAAAAAAAATGAGAGAAAAGGTAATGAAAAGGACTACCGCGCTTTAAAGGTGAAGTGGAGAGAGAAGCTGATGGAAACGGCGCTAAGTGCTCGCCTAGCGTCACCGCCTTAGGCGCATCTTGGCATCGGCGCCTGAGGTAACCGACGTTAGGTAAGGTGCTGCTGCGTCAACATCCTGTCGCCTGCTCTGTCCAGAGGGAAGCTTCACTCGGTCCCCACCACGACTTTATCCTATCTTCATACCCCCTCATCTGTCTCCATACCTCTTTCCAATCGATCTTCAAAGCTTGCGGAGATAATCAAACGACCCCATGGCGGACCGCTATTCGTTCTCTCTCACCACCTTCTCCCCCAGGTAAGACGAGCTCTAGCTACATAGAGGACAACCGTCAGCTAACATTGACTTTTAGTGGAAAGCTGGGCCAAATTGGTAATATATACTGCCTCAGACTAATGATGAACATTTGCTAAATAAACTCAGAATATGCCTTGAACGCTGTCAACCAGGGCGTAACTGCGCTCGGAATTAAAGGTATCAGCGTTATCTCATAGCTTCCGCCCAGCCAGCTCAAGTAGTTGCTAACTTATCTTGTATTGACTAGCAACAAATGGAATCGTCCTCGCTACTGAAAAGAAATCGTCTTCACCACTCGTCGACCCTTGCTCTCTTTCCAAAGTTTCCTTAATCACGCCTGACATTGGCACGGTGTACGCGGGAATGGGTCCAGACTACCGTGTACTGGTCGACAAGGCACGCAAAGTTTCCCACACTGGTTACAAGCGTATCTATAACGAACACCCCCCTACTCGTATATTAGTGCAAGATGTTGCGCGTGTCATGCAAGAGGCCACCCAGTCCGGTGGTGTTCGACCGTACGGTGTCAGTTTGTTGATCGCTGGTTGGGATGAGGGTGTCGAACCTGAGTCAGAGGAGGCTCAGAAGGGCGATAGTGAAGATGAGCCTAGAAAGGCAACCGGTAAGACGGGCGGTATCTTGAAGGGTGGCCCGAGCTTGTATCAGGTCGACCCAAGTGGTAGTTATTACCCATGGAAGGCTACGGCTATTGGCAAGCATGCTACGAGTGCGAAGACATTCCTTGAAAAGCGTTACACTGAAGGTCTCGAACTCGAAGATGCTATCCATATTGCCCTGTTGACGTTGAAGGAGACCATTGAGGGTGAGATGAATGGTGACACAATAGAGATTGGTAAGTCTCAATAACCTCATTGCCCAGTTTTGGACCCAAACTGACTAGGTATAGGTATTGTTGGCCCTCCTGCCGACCACCTACTGGGTTTTGAGGGCGTCGAAGGTGCCCAGGGGCCCAGATTCAGGAAGTTGACGAAAGAGGAGATCGAGGACTATCTTACCAATCTATGAATGATTTAAGTATGGACGTATTGGGCGGTTTTGGACCTTGTAGCATAATAGACATATGTCGAGACTTGCGAGGTTCCCATACATGCTAGCAAAGATTTTCTACGACGATTGATCTTAACCTACCGAAGCATATTGAGCTTTGTGACGCTGGACAACAAAAAGTGGTGGCGCACGTCGGCGTGTCATCATGTCCAATATTACCCATCAATTTTCGGAATGAATAAGGCTCTATAATTGCATGATCTGATACTCCAGCTCTAGTACAGCAGGATTGTACTGGGCCAGGGTGTAGAGAGCTAGGTTTGGCTTCAACGGGTTGCATAGGAACCTTCCGCGATCTAGTGTAGTTAATCTCTGGTCCGGATAGTTCTCAGGCACTCCTGGCTTATTAGGGATTAGTGCTAGTAGTGCTTGGTATAATAAGTACGAGGGAGGCGTTACATAAGTCTGGATTATCTGAAGGTTCACCCTGGTCGAGTAGATACCCAACTGTGGGAAAAGAGGGCCATTCCGGGGGGCGGTCCCCTGACAAGCCCACATTTCCTGGGTTCGGATATCTGGGGGTAATCTGGGGGGAACAATTGAACTGAGCTCATCTATTGGTTTTGAAAAAGCATCATATGGACATCGATATGGGCCCCTGCTTGGCTTTGCGTCTCCAATGGAGTGTACGGTGCCCGTGGGCTGTTGCAGTTGCCTACTGCTCAAGGATATGGACAGCTTAACAGTAGTAATGAGATAATATCTGTCTCTATCCCATTGAAACCCTTATCATCACACTAGCTTGGAAATCTTGTATTGGCGAATTTTTCTGCCACGGCTTAGAGAAAGCGCATCCTTCTCCTGGCTTTCCAAAATAGACAAGGATTTGTCTTCAGCCCTCTCGTTACTCTCATGTCTCCTTCTTTCACTCGGCCTCCGTTTCTCTTGAGGCCGGCCGAGACCAGGAAAGTTCCACTCAAGTCCATGGCACGACTTGCCCGGTCCTGACGCCGCTTGGCCGGCGGCTTATGGTTGGAGAGTGGAGCCATCCACATAGCACGTTTTTACTGTAAATATATGGACGCATTGGGATAGTTAGGTGTATGGCTGATGTCGTTTTGAGTACATGATATTGGGTGGCAAGAGAGGGGGTCTAGAATAAGTAAACTCATATCCGACGTCGAGAATCTTTTGGGTGTGACTAATTCTATCGCTAGGGTTGTGGAAAGGGTCCAGAACCAAAGAGAAAATAAAATAAAATAAAGTAAAGTAAAAATTAGAAAGAGAATAAAAGAATATAAGCAACGTCGAAGTCTTGGTCAAAGGCTACATGTAAGCCTGTGCCTGATGAAGAATAAGAAGCCCATGGTATAGACTAGCCATTTTAACATGAGCTGAATACTCGAGTTCTATATGCTACAACACGCAACCCGAGCTAAACTTCCATTGTGGCCATGCAAGTCGGACTTTTCAAGTGTCTGACGCTTTGAACAAACACGGGAAAGAATTGTTGGATACGACAGGGATAGAGATCCAGGGGGGCTAAGTCGCCACATCTTTGGGATCAAAATAGGACTTGGAAATACCTTAGCGATATGATCGGCTGAAATCAACATATCATGATGTAGTTGTTCCTCATGTTGTCCATCGCGAAAGAGCCCTATAGTACTGTACATCGCAGACATGCTGAGAGCCAGTTCTTTTGCATGTCTATCATATCTGGGCAGGCTAGGGGCACTATGTAGTATGGTAGTCATGTGCTAGGTAAGCCATCCACAGTCCTCCGTACTACTAACCTTTTGATGCCCCATGGGCCATGATTAGGGGTCCAATGGCGTATCAATCGTGCCATCTGGCTTGCTAGTTTAGGCAAACGGGTTGTTTTGGCCCGCGGAGAATCGCCAAGAAGCGTACCAGATACGGTTACTGGTCTGCTACCCTGGTCTTGGCCAAGTGAACCAACGCCGAATACTACCTTAGCAAGCGTCATTAGTTCCTGCGGAATACGAAGCCACTGAATCTTAGTCCCAACGTGACTCCGGGGTATCGCCTCCAGCTAGTCTAGGCCAACACAATGCCTTTCTTTGGAAGGAGGAGGGAAAGAATTGTCTAGAGCTTTCACATAACCTCGATATGATACGGTTTACCAGTTAACAGTCGCTCTATTCCCACATGTGCCGCTCTTTTGACATGTACAGTCTCCGCTCATTACCTCGGATGTTGTTGGTCTGACGTATAACATTTCTTGGTTGAGGAAAAGGCAAGAAAAAAAATATAAAATTAAAATTAAAATTAAAGAGAAAAGCAAGGGAGAGAAGCCTGTGGTAGCCTCTCCACACTTTTTCCAGCCCAGATCGTCAAGATCATCATCACCATATACCACCGCATCATGTCAAATATTGTGAGCCAACTTGATGGCATTTCCGGTGAGCTTGCGGGCACTCAATATGGGCTCAAAGCGACCCTTCTCTTTTTCATCTCCATCTCCATTTACAATGTAATTGAGCTGGCAATCCTTGTGCTATCGACATTCCGTCGCTGGACGGGTCTATACTTCTGGAGCTTGCTACTTTCGGGCTGCTTGGGAGTTATTCCATACTCACTCGGCTTCATGCTGAAGTTCTTCACACATGCCAATTCTATCTTGTCTGTTACGTTGCTTACCATCGGCTGGTGGACAATGGTGACGGGTCAGTCTATTGTCCTCTATTCACGGCTACATCTTGTCATCCGCGATGAGCGCATTCTTCGCCGAGTGCTATGCATGATCATCGCAAATTTCTTTCTTTTGCATGTCCCTACTTCCGTCTTGACGTATGGTTCCAACGTCCCCGATCGATCGCCTCTATTCGTCAAAGGATATAATATCATGGAAAAAATCCAGATGACTGGTTTCACCCTACAAGAGGTGATAATCTCAGGGCTCTATATCTGGGAGACGACCAAACTGCTTCGGTTGGGTTCGAGCCGACAAAACCGAAGAATAATGCGCCAGTTAGTCGGAATCAATGTTGCCATTCTTGTGATGGACTTAGCCCTACTTGCATTGGAATATGCCAGCTTCTATGCTATTCAGATCACGCTCAAGGGTGTCATATACAGCATCAAACTTAAGTTGGAGTTTGCCGTGCTCGGGAAACTGGTCGATATGGTTCATGGGCACAGGCATCCGGGTACGTTCGGCAATGACGTACAGTGGTATTCATTAGAGTATGAATCTAGTCCGACTGCGCCGGCATCGTCGTCTGGTCTATTGGGTAGAATCAACTTCTCTCACGTTGTTCAAGATGGGACGAAGCGACCACACAGTTCACAGAGCGATGGTTGTCCGGACAAGAAATTCACGATGAAGGTATCGGATTTGGTTAAACGTCGCCCTCCCGAGGAAATCATCTAATTACTTTTTGTACATCTCCATTTTATTTTTGTATATACCCATTATGACTTTTAGTCCATTACAGCCCGCATGGGCTAAAACACTTGCAGCTACACAAGGCAACCGCCTAAAAAGCAGCTGTTTCATATCCTTCATCCTCATGTTAATATGACCATAACCTCAATGCAATGTAAACCTCAAGCAGCCCCATCACTCAACCCAGCATCGTCGCCTTCAACCCAGCCGAATTCTTCATCGGAATCTTCATCCTGGCTATCCGCAATCTCATCGACTTTGCGTTTCCGTTGGCTAGCTGATACGCTCGTTTCAACTGGCTCTTGAGGCAGGATCACTGGAGGCGGAGTCTTGTCTATCCCACGTAAACCGTCCTATCCACAAATGTGAGTCATCTGTGAGTGCTGCACGAGAACTGATCCAAGCATACCGTCTCAATCTTGAATGGCACGATATTCTCGTCCAATCTCAAAGACAAAGTCTTTCCCGCTCTCTTCACTACCTCCGCGAATCTAATGCTCTTGGAATCCCCCTCGTCCTCGGGCAGAAAGTCCCGAAAAATGGCAACTCTCGTATGGACACAATTCTCCCATGTTCCGCCCGCGATAACCGGACACAGAGTTGCACGCGGTTGGCCTCTGATTCGGGTATGTGTCTGGTTGACTAGAAGTATGGCTAAGCTATGTGTAGCTGCTAGTTTCACGAGTTGATTTCCCAGGTCGCTTGTGACATTCCATTTGCGGTTCATTAACCAATGAATCTGTGTCTTGTCTGTGATTCCTGACTGGGGTAGACGGGATTTGAACTCAGATGGATTGGGAAAATATGATGGGAATGGCCCAGATACAGAGTCGATGACGAGAAGCTTCGCATCTTCTGGGGGGAAGCCCTTGGGTGGGCGGATGAGGAGAGCTAGCAGATGAGGTAGCGACCTTGCATGGAAGTAGATCAAGTTCTTGATAGGGTCCTCTGGTGTATTAGAAGATGTGGCATCAGAGGACTTCTTTAGCATGTTTGCCAGGCGTACTTTCGGGAGTGGAGATCCCGTATCTGAGTATGTTAGAGCCAGTTCTCACTGGAGTTTGGTTTCGTACCGATCCATATCACTTTGTCCCCATTCCGGAGAGCCGATGTGACAACGCTCAGACTGCAGGTATACTGTTAGATCAGTAGCAACGTGCAACAGGTAGGGATTGGACCTTACGCCAGTGATGTTTTCCCAGCCCCAGGAGGGCCGAATACCTCAGTGACATGTCCACATGGTATTCCATTGGAGTCTATATCGCTAGTACGTCCCGGCACATCCTCCGGGGAAGGCAGACGGATGGCCTCATCTAATTGGGGAATACCCGTCGATATAGCGCCGGAGGCAGACGCGGCAGACGCGTGCAGAGACTGCGACGCAGGAAAGGAGACAACGCGATCTACACGTATCGTTAACTTATCAATCGTTTCCTATCGAGTTTACAAGAACTCACGAGGCTCCTGAGTGGAAAGACCGAGGTAATCCTGCTGGTTCATGGTGACGGCAAACGCGAACCCGGCGCGTCAGGCCTGTCGGGATCAAATGATGATAGTTGCGCACTTCGGAACACTCGAATACTGTCGACCTCTCATTTTGGTGTCGCAGTATGCTTCAGCTTCGCTGTGGGGATCCTGAGTCTAGCAACTGCCGACCGTGGTGGATGGTGACTACGACGTTCATTAACGAGGAATCGCCGATTCGGATTGGATCACGTCGGAGTTTAATGCAATTAAATCTAATCTCCGTAGATCGTCATTTTTCCTGGGCGTCTGATATACGGGCGTTATTCTTGTCCAACGTAGTTAACTTTAAAGCTTATCCTCACCTTATATACTTTCTCTGTATGAAATCATATGATATACAAGTTGTCTTTTCACATCGCAGACTTGTGCTTTAATGCTGAATCCCACGGAACCCATACTCGGCTTCAACACCGTACGCCACTATGCTATGAACACATTCTCAACTCTAGCCATTATCTGGCTTCCTCTCATTCCCATAGCTATATTCTTCATCTCCCATAAATATTACCAATTCACAAGCCCCCCTCCAAAAGGGTGTCGCAAGCTAGGTCTCCCACATCACAAAACCAACCTGCACGACGAATACGACCCCAAATACAGCCAAGGCGTGCCCGAGAAGCACACAGACCCAGAAGACCAGCCCTCATGGCGCATAAAAGCGCTCTTCGCATACCCGATCAAAAGCTGCGCTGGGATCGAGCTGGACACAGCCGACGTCGTCCCCACAGGCTTCACCTACGACCGCCAATTCTGCTTCGCCGAATACACCACCCCCAAAACCAGCAACAACAACCGGTCTGAACAAGCCCACTGGACAGCAAGGACGCTCCGCGACGGCTCGCTCTGCAGAATGGCTCTCATCAGACCCGAGATCTGGGTCCCCGACCCCACAGCCGACGACTACTCCCGGGAGCTCCAGGAGGTGCGATCCCAAGGCGTCCTGGTCATCCATTACCCGCGAGTCGCGGACGGTATGCTCTCGCTCCCAGTAAAACTGGGCATGAAGCTGGGCCTCCTCTCGAAGGAACTATCCTTCCGAGTCCCCTTCTCCCCTCCACAAGACGGAAGTTCCGAGACGACGTATCCATCCACCCCCGTCAAAATCTGGAAAGACACCCCCCTGGCCCACGACTATGGCTGCCACCTCCCGCCCTCACTGCGCCGTTTCCTGGACCCTGACCGTGTCCGCGGCCCCCTGACCCTCTTTAGGGTAAACCCATCCCACCACCGGGAAATCTTCCGCAACGCGCCCCGCAAAGAGCACCTGGGGTTTCAGCCGGTGACGGGCTTCGCGGACGCATACCCCATCCATCTCCTCAGCATAGCCAGCGTGCAAGACATAGCGAGTAAATGCAAGGCGGATATCCCCGAGCTAAGTATCCGTCGCTTTCGGGCGAACATCATCGTCCAGGGTCCGGGGGCTTATGAGGAGGATCATTGGAAGCGGGTGAGAATCGGTAATTCTGGGTCTGGGTCTGGCTCTGGGGGCGTGGAGGTCTACACTGCTTGTCGGACTATTCGGTGTAAGCTGCCAAATGTGGATCCGGATACTGGGGTTAGGCATCCTGTGGAGCCGGATCGGTCGCTGAAGAGGTGGAGGAGGATCGATCGTGGCGATTTGACTAATGCTGCGCTGGGGATGCAGGTTGTTCCTGCCGTGAGAGGTATGTTTGCTTGTTTCTTTCTTTTGGTTTGTTTGGTGCGTTAGGCTGATTTTTGTAGAGTTTAGGGTTTGTGTTGGGGATGGGATTGAGGTGCTGGAGACCGGGGAGCATTGTTATATTAAGATGTTGAAGCCTGGGGAGAAGGTGGAGGGGGTTTAGGCTTGGATTTTACTTGTATAAATGTCTAAGCCTGGGTGATTCTGGACGATATCATTTACAATGCGTATATTTACGAATACGTACTAACTTGGAAGTCAGATAGGTGATGTGAGTCACTACATGTGAGACTCAGCAGGGTATCCTTTCATTAGACCCTTCTCAAGGGTCGTTATATACTAGCAGAAAACCAAAACCATTATTATACATTAGCCGGACCAGCCTGGGCGCCCTTATAGTCTGGGGACTCCGAAATGTCCTTCGTCTCTTCATTCTCACTCCGGACCTCGCTACCCCTGGCCTCCATGATGGCGGCCTCTTCCTCCGGATCTTCCGGGATAAGAAGGTTGAGAACCAACCCCAGCATAGCGGTGACTGCGAACCCGTTGGTCATAACGAGCACCACAGCATCTAGAAGCCCCTGCAGGGAGTGGTTATCACCACTGTAGGTGAAGAAATATTGGAACCATTCTGGCACCAACGTGGCAGCCATACCAATGGCGAAAGAGGCCGTAAGGATGAAACGGTTGCGACGAGTGAATGGGATGGTGGAAATGATACGGATGCCGGAGATAGCGACGGACGAGAAGAGGAAGGTAGTCATACCACCGAGGACAGAGCTGGGGATGGCGACAAGCGCGGCAGCGAACTTGGCGAAGATGCCCATGATGACGAGGAAGAAGCAGCAGCAGTATCCAGCCTTGCGGTTTGCGCACTTCGTAAGAGCGATGACGCCGTTGTTTTGGGCGAACACCGACATGGGTGTGATGGTGCATAAGCCTGCGATCAAACAGGTGATACCGTTGCCCAGGACACCACCTCTAATGCGCGAATCGAAGTTGGGCCCCTCCACTTCCACTTGAGAAACGTCGCATGTGGCTGTGATGTCGCCGATTGATTCCATCATGATCACGATGTAGACTGCTAGTAAGGGGAGGATGAGTGGTGGGTATATCGATAAGGGGAATGTCCGGACCCAGATGAAGGACGCTACTGGGGCTGCGTCAATGCCTGAGCGGTCGAAGTAGCCACATGCTGCCGCCACAATGCATCCAACCAGCAAACCGATGACGACGGCGCAGGATTTCATGATGGGGGAGCCAAATCTTTCGCACAGAATAATGGTCACGAAGACCAGGAATCCGAGACCGATGAACTCTGCACTACCCCAGGGTAGAGCGTGCGGTGCATCTGCACTGGGGCATAGGGCACGGGCGGAGGGGTCGCTGCCACAACCGCCTGAGCCTCCCGCCCAGTCTTTCATGCCGCTCTCAATGAGAGATGCTCCAATCAGTAGGACAGTTGGTCCAGTAACCAGGGCTGGGAAGACACGTTTCAAGACCTTGGAACTTATGAATGAAAGGCCGATTTCGAGTAAAGAGCATAGACAGGAGGTACCGAGGAGAGCTCCATAGCCCTTCGGACAAGGTAGACGGTTGCCCTGGGCATCAACCGGGCAGTATCCGGACGAATACATTTGAGTAAAAGCTCCCGACGCTACGGTAATAATCGCGAACGAGGTACCAACGACTGAAATCAGGCCCGTACCCATCGAGTATGGCGTTTTGTAGATGTGAATGCGGGTCATTTGAAGGGCAGACAGCAATCCGGATACGATCAGAGAGGTCGACACTAGGTATTGGTAGTCTTCATCTCCAAAGTTGGCTCCGGAAGAACCACCCAGGAGGATTGGCGGCGAGATAACTGAAGAAGTTAGTGTTACGCCTCCCGAGTCATAATAGGACGATATGCCAACCTCCAGCCAACATAGCTAGGGCATGTTGTAAGCCCAGAAGAAGAGCCAGAAAAACTGGGACTCGATCCTCGAGTCCAAAAAACGGGGCCGATCGCCTTGTTTGCTTCATGAAAGGGATTTTGGGTGTGAAAAGGTATGCATAATCGTAGTCTCCTATTAATCCATCCCTGTGGATAAATCGATCAGATCTATGTTCAAGTTATATAGGGCATCCGACAGTAATAATGTACCTCGTGGTGAAGGTTTTGACAATTCGACGGCCTTTATCGGCCCAAGTTTGCTTGGGACGTAGGTCCGGACCAATCTGATCTGGTCCATCCATGTTGGGGAGCTTTGGGAATGTTTCGCAGCTGGACACCTGATATCTCTTCTCTGTCGGAGGAACCACGTTTGTGATCACGATTGAGGCAAATTTCTGCAGATAGATAGAGTTCGCTTCCGTATGACGAACGATCGCGGGGAGAAGGTCTTGTGAACCAGGGTAGGAATGATGATTGAAACTGATATCTCGAATCAAGATCGCGGGGAAACGTGAGTTTTATGTGTCCAAGAGCTCTCTAGACAACAATAATCCCTGGGGAAGCCCGATCAGATTTTGCAAATTTCCGAGAACAAAGCGATACGATTATCGATAAGTGACGAGCACATGCGTCAATGAATCGAATAATTTATTTAATAAATTTAGTTGGTTATCTATCAAGGATAAGTCTAATTTGAGATTTAGTCCCTTGGCGCCCATAACAAGGGAGATCTCGGAGAGACCTCGGCAATGGACGCGAATCATTCGCGCTTCAGGTTTGAAGACAAACAGTGATGCAAACGATTAAAGTCAAGAATTCCATGAGAGGGGATCCAATGAGCAATGTTCGCTGCTACAAAGTTGCGGAGCGGCATCTTGATCGACAATGATGTGGGTTGACAATCACATTGTCAGCAAAGTTTTATAGTGATTTAACAAAGAGTACATTGAATTACAGACTACACTCTCACGACCAGTTGTGCTGAACACAGTCTTTCGCACTGACCCTTGCATCAGTCAGCTTTTTCTTGTTGTCTTGTAGCACTAGCCACTATGCAACCAGACTTGCCTTTGCTACCTCTCCCTTCCCCCCTTTTTTACAAAATTGAAACCATACAATTAGAAATCATAAACTCGTTGGCTATGTTGGCTGTTATCAATGCAACGCTGTTCGAACCCCGATCCATGACAGTGCAGTCAATATCTCGAAACACTAACCCCAAGAACTTGGCCTGTGCGTATCCTTGGCTTCACCAGTGGAGTCGAGATAAGGACGCCTTCTTGAACCATTCTGAGCACGCGAAGGCCAGTCTGCTTATCAGTGACCAAGGCGGGTACCGCCGAATTCCTCTAAAATCCGGGGGAACTGATAGCAAACAGCCGAACTGGTCATGGTCGAGATGTCGACCTGGAATAGACATTATCCCTTCAATACAAGGTCTTGGGATGGTTGATGTTCTCACTGAGTACGGAGTAATTGGGGCGCGGATAACTACGCAGATTGCGCCTTGCCATATTAGGTGATTACGGGCCATTTTTGGACTGTTACATCGGTTTTGGATCAAGTGGGGAATTAGCCATTGTTTTTTTCGAGAATCAATGTTACTTAATTGTAGTTATCGGCTGTGTGACTGTGAGGTTTGACTAAGGGATATCCATCACTAGTTAGTCTACGGAGTAGCGTTTCAATATTCAATCTTTATGCGAATAACGGTTGTTAGTGCTGGGAACAGTCCCCATATTATTGTGGAGTATATGTTCGGTCATCCAGTGTACAATGTGCATACCTTGAATTAGGGAGCATAGTGTGCTACTGCAGGAACCTCGACCGTCTGGTATGAGACACTAACCTATGGAACTATGGAGAACATCGGTGATTGTATCTCCCCAGATATGCCAGCGGCGATCTTGGTAATCGATCGAGGGTCGTATGTCGCCACGAAAGCTACCTTAATCGTCGGATAGACGCAGTCTCATCTCTAAATAGCCACAACAATAGTGCAAGCCCTACAAGGCGATTTCGATAGTTGTCCGACTACGGGGGCTAGACAGCTCTAGATTCTTCAATGACTGAACATAGTTTATTTCTTAAAGCGTGTTAAACCTGCACTATGTATAGCAGAGTTACGGGGAATAGTTTGGGCTCATCCACCAAACATCTACATCTACCATTGGTTACCAATCTTGTTTTCAACAACTCTCCGGCCTACTAATTGCCGGAAAGTTGTCCTTTTACCTAGTTTACGAAGGCGTGGTGCGCGGAAGATCGCGGTACAAAGAAATCAAAGTTTTCATTGAAGCAACAACAGGTACGTCGCCACCACGAAGTGGCAAGAAGAACACCTATGTAGGGCTGCATCGGATATACTGATTTGAAGTGCTACTGTTAGTGTATATACTCCAACTGGGTGATATCCTGGGGCCTCCGCTTCTCCAGTTAGATTATGTCGATTGTAATTACTGACGTCTTACTACTCCAAATAACGGGGAGGGCGAAATCCTTCCGGTGGCTGCTGTCACTTGTCACTTTAAACGTTAGGATATTGTAATCGCAGTTCGGGAAGACTTCTATGCGGAGACTGCAGCCGTTGATGCGAGGTGAGATTCAAAGACTTTTCGTTGTCGTTGTCTCCGATGGAACCAATCAGACACGTACCACGTCTGACCGCCTGCAAAAATGTGAAAATTGTTGGGGATTCAACAGATGGCGAATCGGTAGCGATTGGTCCAAACCAGCCGGACTAACCCGAAACAGCAGAGCCTGGCCGGCACTCGCCATCGAATCACAAGCGGCCCAACAAGCTTACTGGAAGGGCAATTGGATACTCGGCCTCGTCCCTGGTGTCCTTACATAGACATCAGCAATGCTGGACATTCGGCTTTGTTGAATGCTGAACGCAGTCGTGAACCTCGGAATCTTATGATCAATTGATTTGCCTGTGAGGTGTGAATGATAAAAGTAACCTGTCAGGCCACTCTTTTCCTCCTTCTTCCATCGCTCCGGTTGATCGCTCAGCATAGCATCATTCTTGCCTGGCCTTGCACTTCCTCTGTTTTCCCCAACCGTCATCCACCGGTGGAACCCTTGGGGTGTGCAAGTAAAGGATCTCCCGATTTTCTTTACTCATTCGCCTTTTCTGTTTTCGCCTCCTACCGGAGCTTCCCCACCCTTTTTAGTTTCCATCGCTTTTTCTTCCTCAGATCTCTCGCCTCCGTTTAAATAGTCTTCCTCTTCTCTCCACCTCACCACCTTAACCCTTTCACCTATCAAGAGGGCATCTCACTGTCGACAGTTTCTTCGTCTTGGGTTCGGGCATATTGGAGGTCTCAGAGACGACGAAAAGCACCGACATCATGTCTGCAAAGACGGCAGACGCTACCCAGCCTCGTGCTGGTGACATCAAGAAGGTTCACATTGCCGACACTGCCATCACACGGGGCAACTGGCACAAGCATGTCAACTGGCTGAACGTGTTCCTTATCATCGGAATTCCCGTGTATGGATGTGTCCAGGCTTTCTGGGTGCCTCTGCAGCTGAAGACTGCCATCTGGGCCGTCATCTACTACTTCTTCACCGGACTGGGTATCACGGCAGGTAGGTTTTGCCCCGACTCGCAGGAGTATCCATTCAGGATACAGCGGGCTAACAGTTGCTCGAAACAGGATACCATCGTTTGTGGGCTCACTGCTCCTATTCCGCTCGTCTTCCCCTTCGTATCTGGCTCGCTGCTGTTGGCGGTGGTGCCGTGGAAGGTTCTATCCGCTGGTGGGCTCGTGACCACCGCGCTCACCACCGTTATACCGATACCGACAAGGACCCCTACTCAGTCCGCAAGGGCCTGCTCTACTCCCACCTTGGCTGGATGGTGATGAAGCAGAACCCCAAGCGTATTGGCCGTACCGATATCTCTGACCTGAACGAAGACCCCGTCGTTGTGTGGCAACACCGGAACTACCTCAAGGTCGTCTTCTCCATGGGTCTGTTCGTGCCCATGCTCGTGGCTGGCCTAGGCTGGGGTGACTGGTGGGGCGGCTTCGTCTATGCTGGTATCCTCCGTATCTTCTTCGTCCAGCAGGCAACTTTCTGTGTCAACTCGTTGGCTCACTGGCTCGGTGACCAGCCATTTGATGACCGCAACTCTCCTCGTGATCACGTCATTACTGCCCTCGTCACCCTCGGTGAGGGATACCACAATTTCCACCACGAGTTCCCCTCCGACTACCGTAATGCTATTGAATGGCACCAGTATGATCCCACCAAGTGGAGCATCTGGATCTGGAAGCAGCTTGGCCTCGCTTATGATCTCAAGCAATTCCGTGCCAATGAGATCGAGAAGGGCCGTGTTCAGCAGCTCCAGAAGAAGATCGATCAGAAGCGTGCCAAGTTGGACTGGGGTGTCCCTCTCGACCAGCTTCCTGTCATGGAGTGGGACGACTACGTCGAGCAGGCCAAGAATGGCCGTGGTCTTGTTGCCATTGCCGGTGTTGTTCACGATGTGACTGACTTCATCAAGGATCACCCCGGTGGCAAGGCTATGATCAACTCGGGTATCGGCAAGGATGCCACCGCCATGTTCAACGGAGGTGTTTACTATCACTCCAACGCTGCGCACAACCTGCTGTCGACCATGCGGGTTGGTGTCATTCGTGGTGGCTGTGAAGTCGAGATCTGGAAGCGCTCTCAGAAGGAGAGCACCGACTACGTCCGTGACAGCAGCGGCCAGCGGGTCATCCGCGCTGGTGAACAGGTTACAAAGATCCCCGAACCTATTCCCACCGCCGATGCAGCATGAAGCCGCTATTTATCCACTATCCTGTGATGTACGATTGTCTTGATATTGCATTCTTTTTCTCCACGGGTCATGTCCTTATTTAGCACCATGGGCGTTCATTATACGACACTTAATTGTATGGGGTTCGGAGTTGGGATTCGGTTCAGCAGCAAGATGGCAGAAGACTTGATTGATTCGAGTTTTTATTCGCATCCTTTATAAAAGCGAAAGGTCAAAACATATTTGGTCAATGAAAATAGATGACGATATCCACCTGATAGAGCTTGGGCACATACCGTAGACTTGCGTAGGACCATCCTTCTATTGTATTCATGATCCTAGAATGCAAACAAACGAACCACTTTTACGTTGAAGGTCAATTTTGCGGTGGGAAAAGTCACATGGCATGGCACCAGCTCCACAGTTCACTAGCTTGCCGTTAGCGCGGGTCCAACTCCAGTGACCAAGTAAATACAACCATAGACTGCAGGTCACCATCCTCTCTGCATCACCACTGCAAAGCCACGTATTCTTCTGTTTGAATCAATTCTTCTTACCCCACCTCTCCAATTTCTACCCCTCCCACCATTCCGGCCCTTCGCTCCGTTTTTCTACACGCCCTCGTCCTGTTTGTGGGCGTTCTTCTCATCACCGTGGCTCCTCCGCTCCGCCTCTCATCCCCCACTTTCAGACTCTCCTCAGTATTGGGCCATCTCCGTGGCTCACGACTGACTACGCCTACAGTGTCCCCTACGGCACTGACGAATCTCCGCAAGTCCCTCACCACCGCAAGCATGGCTCCAGAACACTACCGCCGCCCACCTCAGGCCCCGCCGGTCTTCACCGCAACTGCTCAGTCGATCGTTGACGACGCCAAGCGCCTCATTGAGGCATCCCGCAAGGTCCAAGATGATGTTGTCGCCAGCGTGAAGCCTGAGACAGCGACATTCGACTCGGTGCTCAAGCCTTTGGCCCATGACGAGAACACCATGGCACTGGAAGCCCACATTCTCAGCTTCTACCAGGCGGTCTCAACCGAACAGCAGTTGCGCGATGCTTCGTCCAAGGCCGAGGCAGAGTTGGACGAATTCTTCATCGAAACGGTCATGCGCGAGGATGTCTTCAAGCTTGTGGATGCCGTACTAAACAAGAACGAATCTCTTGACCCCGAGTCCCGTCGCCTCTTAGAGAAGGAGCACAAGAGTTACATTCGCAATGGGCTGGGTCTCCCTGCCGGGCCAAAGCGGGACCGCTTCAAGGAGATCAAGAAGCGCCTGAGTCAGATCAGCATTGAGTTCCAGAAGAACTTGAATGAAGAAAACGAGGGTCTCTGGTTTACCTCCGAAGAACTGGACGGTGTGCCGGAGGACGTGCTGTCAGGTTTAAAGAAGGGCGAGGGAGAGAACGCGGGCAAGCTCTGGCTGACCTTCAAGTATCCGGATCTTTTCCCGACTATGAAGTATGCCAAGAACCCTGAAACTCGCAAGCAGGTAATGATCCAGAACGAGAACAAATGCAACCAGAACGTACCCCTCTTCCGGGAGGCCATTGTCCTGCGCGACGAGGCCGCTCGGCTTTTGGGATACCCGAACCATGCAGCATTCCGCATTGAGGATAAGATGGCAAAGACACCAGAGACAGTTGACACCTTCTTGGGAGATCTGCGGAGTCGCCTGACAGCCGGTGGCCAGAAGGAGATCAAGAGTCTGCTGGAGTTGAAGAAGAACGACATTGAAGCTCGTGGCGAGACCTTTGACGGCAAGTACTATCTGTGGGATCACCGGTTCTACGATCGTTTGATGCTGGAGAAGGACTACTCTCTGGACCAGCAGCAGATTGCTGAGTATTTCCCTCTTCAGACAACTATTGAGGGTATGTTGAAGATCTTCGAGGAATTGTTCGGCCTGGTGTTCGTAGAGATCACCGGTGATGACCGGGCTAAGGTAGCTCCCTCCGGCAAGGGAAGTGACATTGTCTGGCATGAGGATGTGCAGATTTTCAGTGTCTGGAACGACGAGGGCGAGGGCAGCGGATTTGTTGGCTATCTCTACCTGGACCTTTTCCCTCGGAGCGGCAAATACGGCCACGCGGCCAACTTCAACCTCCAGCCCGGTTTTATCGACAAGGATGGCAAGCGCCGCTATCCAGCCACCGCCCTTGTGTGCAACTTCACTAAGCCGACACCGAAGAAACCCAGTCTGCTCAAGCACGACGAAGTGGTAACGTTGTTCCATGAGTTGGGCCATGGTATCCATGACCTCGTGGCCAAGACCATTTACTCTCGGTTCCACGGAACCAACACCGTGCGTGACTTCGTCGAGGCCCCTAGTCAGATGCTGGAGAACTGGTGCTGGACCCCATCGCAGCTCAAGTCGCTCAGCAAGCACTACTCGACGCTCTCGCCTGAGTATCTCGCCGCCTGGAAGGAACAGGCCGGCGACAAGCCCGTGCCGGCCGAGCAGATCCCCGACGAGGTGATTGAGAACCTGATCCGGACGAAGCATGTCAACGACGCACTGTTCAACCTGCGCCAGCTGCACTTCGGCATCTTCGACATGACGGTGCACGAGCCCAAAAGCCACGAGGAGATTGAGAAGCTACCGATCTCAGCCACCTACAACCAGCTGCGCAAGCAGATCACCCAGATGGATGGACCGGAGACCTTGGGCCTTGGTGACGAATGGGGACACGGCGAGGCGACTTTCGGACACTTGATCGGTGGCTACGACGCCGGTTACTATGGGTACTTGAGGTAGGCTTGCTTTATTGTTGCCCGTGCTGTTGACATTCTTGCTAATCATATAAACAGCTCCCAAGTTTACTCCACCGATATGTTCTACACAGTCTTCAAGTCTGACCCGATGAACCCGACCGCCGGCCGACGCTACCGCCACCAGGTCCTGGAGAAGGGAGGCAGCCAGGATGAAATGACGAGCTTGACGGAATTCTTGGGCCGCGAGCCCAAGACCGATGCATTCTATAAGGATATGGGCTTGGCTTAGGATTAATATATATACCTACCATTATATATAAATGATTCAGTGAATATAATTAAGTTCGAATGAAGAAGAAGCGATCTGGGAATGCTTGTAGAATCAATAGCCGTCAGGATAGAGAGAATAGCACGGAGTATAGATTGCAGCATCGTCGCGCCGATCAATCTTATCGATAAGGCCCACCAAAAGCTCTTCTTCAGCTTCCACCAACACCTCCACTCCAACACTACAGTCACCTCAAACGAACACCACCACCAATTCACTCACTCAATCAACAAGAGCCCACATCAAGAAAAC